AGAATGGGTTTTAATGTATTTTAAAAATCCAAATCTGTATGTAAAGTGACTCAGGAGGTTAAGCTCCTCCCCCTCAGCTGAGGGGGAGGAGCTTAACCTCCTGTGATCTGAGTGGAAGCTCAGGTGGATTCTGTGCACCTGTACAGGTGAGAACCCGTGGCCTAGTGGCAAGGCAGAAGGCTGCAGAGCGGGAGGTGGTGGGATCGAACCCCGGTCATTTCCAAGAAAATCAGGTTTTGTTTCACCCGCTTTCTTTTTTTTGCCTCTAGGGGGCAAAGTAGTAGATAAATACAACTTCCAAACTTATACTAGTGTGAAAGCACCGGTGGCGCAATGGAACAGTGGGCGGATGGCAGCCAACAAGGGCGTGAAGTCTCAGGTTCGAATCCCAGAGTGTCACCGGTGTGGAAGCTCGGGGGGGGTTTCTCTGCCTCCCCGAGAATTGGGAGTGTACAGGTAGGGGGTTATGGAGCACAACGAGAAAATAGGAAGGGCTGTTACAGAAAGAGTCAATTTTTGGCTCAGCACTTATTAATTTTAATAGGGGCCAAAAAAATTTTTCCGCGGCGGCGCTAAAGCGCCGCCGCAAGTTTGGATTTACAACCATGCTATTTTTGGGGTTTTCATCAGAGCAGCAACATGATTGTGTTAGGGTCTAAATGGATAAGGGAGCTTTAAAATCCAGTCAAATGGACATGTAAACTCCCATGCCTCCATTTAGGAGCAGATGAATTGATTCACATGTAATTGTCAGACAGCTTTTAAACCTTCCTGATCCATTCAGACCCCACAACAATCATTTCACTGTTCAGAACAAAAAAAATAGTTAAAGACCACCCCCCTAATATCTCAGATTTCGCACTAAACACTTAGTATATTCTAATAACACCCACCCTCCAGGAACACTTACCTTAACACCGATCATAGACGATATACCCCAGTGCAATTTAAAAGGAAAAAAGAAAGAGGCTATACTGAAGCTCCAGCATCCTCACAAGTTTAAACATCAATAAATTCTCAAATACATTAACAATCTTGTTGCATACGAAACCACTTCAGATCTTCACAACTGATCCAGAGAGACCACCAGGAAATCAAGATCCAGCTCTGCCCCCAGGAGGAGAAACCAGCTCTAAATAAAAACCTTTTTGACTCATAAATGTGTCCCATTCAATACAGTGATCCAAAGGTAGGAATACTTACTTACTTACTTACTTACTTACTTACTTACTTACTTACTTAC